TGTATGTAATGTATGTAATGTATGTAATGTATGTAATGTCTTTAATATATGTAATGTCTTGAATGTATGTAATGTATTTATTGTATGTAATGTATGTAATGTATGTAATGTATGTACTGTATGTAATGTATGTATTGTATGTATTGTATGTAATGTATGCAATGTATGTAATGTATGTAATGTATGTATGTATGTACTGTATGTACTGTATGTAATGTATGTAATGTATGTAATGTATGTACTGTATGTAATGTATGTCATGTATGTCATGTATGTAATGTATGTAATGTATGTAATGTATGTAATGTAATGTATGTAATGTAAGTAATGTATGTAATGTATGTAATGTATGTAATGTATGTAATGTATGTCATGTATGTAATGTATGTAATGTATGTCATGTATGTCATGTATGTCATGTATGTAATGTATGTAATGTATGTAATGTATGTAATGTATGTAATGTATGTACTGTATGTAATGTATGTAATGTATGTAATGTATGTAATGTATGTAATGTATGTAATGTATGTAATGTATGTAATGTATGTAATGTATGTAATGTATGTAATGTATGGAATGTATGGAATGTATGTAATGTATGTAATGTATGTAATGTATGTATTGTATGTAATGTATGTAATGTATGTAATGTATGTATGTATGTATGTATGTTATGTATGCATGCATGCATGAATGTATGTATGTATAATAAATATATTTTTAATATTATGTATATATATATATATATATATTGTTATTATTATTGGTATTCTTATTATTATTGTTATTATTATTATATTAAAATATATATATATACTAGAGGGTACTTGTGTAAAAAAGAAAGAAAATGGAGGCGAAGTCCCGAAGTACCAAATTCCGGGAAAATCTCGCGGTTAAATCAAAATCCCGTAGTACCAATATGTCAGAAAATTTGTAAGCTTCGGAAAATCCGAAATATTCAAATTTCCGTGAAAAGTAAAGGCTTCGGCCAAAAGTTCCGGCCAATTTACCTGCTTATAACATAATTATATAACATATTACATCAATTCCGGCTATAAATACGTACTTTCCGACCGGAGCGCCCACTTTTTCGACAAACATCCTATATTATATAAAATTGATTTGTAATTAATCAAACAAATATGTTTAAAATAAAAAAATAAAATTAAAATAAATCCAAAAATATTAAAAGAATAAATATTCAGTATAAAAATATATATTATATATTAATTTATAATATAATAGAAATATAAAAAATTATTTAAAATAAATAAATATATATATATATATTAAATAAAAAAATATATAAAATAAATTAAATAAATTAAAAAAATAAATAAATATTCATAAATAATTACAACTACAAAAATAAAATAATATATTATTCCAAATCCTCAATTTTTCCAAACAAATGAAAATTTTAGAATGTGTTTTCCAAAAAAATGCCAAAAAAGAAAATTATAAATATATAAATATATACATTATTTAAACAACAAAAAAAATCAAACATAATATATTCCAAAAAATAATATTATATTATAAAAAAAAAACTAAAAATAAAAATAAATATATATATATATTAACCGCAAAAAAAAAATATACAAAACAAAAATAATATGTATATCAACTATAAAATATATCAAATATAAAATATCAAAAACAACGATATTATATTTAAAACTACAATATTTTCATAAATATATATATATATATATATTTAAAAAAATAAATATATATATATATACAATATATTATATCTCAAATATCTATATATACATAATTTCAAATATATATATATATATACATATATTATTTAAATATATAAATCAAAAATAAATTTATATATATATATAATTAATATATAATCCATTTCTGAATAGATTTTTTAATCCACTATTTTAATTAATCTTATTTTTATAATTATAATCTAATTACTATAAATATTTTAATAATTTTGATCCAAATTATATCTTTAAATTTATTTATTTGATATGTCTTTTCTTTATAGATTCAATATGTGGCATGTGATCCAACATCGAGATTGCGCTCCCAAACTTTCGAAAAACAACATAACACATTCTCTACCACCGGCCAACTCAAAGGAACCTCGGGCTCTCCAACGGCTCGTGCAACTTTGCGGTAATGCTTTGTCAATTTCCGTTCAATTGCGTGCACATATTGCACTGGATGCTTCACTGGCGCCAAATCACTGCCCAGAATCATGCTGCGATGGTGGAGGCAGCTCACCATCTTCGCCGCACCGCCAACTCGAGGGACAATTGGAATTGGGAAAAAGCATGACAGAAACGACCCTGGGGTCATCATCTGATTGAGTTCGAGTAGTTCGAGTAGTGATGCACAGAGATAGCCGATACTCTGTTTATTGCAATCCATCGGAGGCTTACAAGAAACTCAAGTAATTGCACACGCTGAAATGCAACATATC